AAAAAAAAAAAAAAAAAAAAAAAAAAAAAAAAAAAAAAAAAAAAAAAAAAAAAAAAAAAAAAAAAAAAAAAAAAAAAAAAAAAATGGGGGATAGTACGTCCGCAGAGGTGAATGGATTTGTTGGTTGGTTATCTTCTTTTGCAGCATTTTTTGCATATTTAATTTGGTCTATAGCTAGTAAAGAACAATTACAATTTCTTGGTATAAGTTATTATCCAGATAGGTAAATAAATATATTATTTATTATCTTTTTTTTATTTCTTTTAGTTAATTATATTTAATTAATTATTCTCTATTTATTTACCTCTTTTTTCCTCCTTTTTATTAGTTATATTTATCTATATTTAGCTATTTAGGTACTATAGCTAGTAAAGAATAATTACAATTTCTTGGTATAAGTTATTATCCAGATAGGTAAATAAATATATTATTTACTAATTATATTTAATTATATTTAATTAATTATATTTATTTATTTATTCTTTATTTAATTACCTTTTTTTTGCTGCTTTTTATTAGTTATATTTATTTATATTTAGTTAATTAGGTACTATTAACTAGTATAGCACCAGTTATTAATAATTAATTATAAATAAATATAATTAATTATAATTAATTATAATTAATTATAATTAATTATAATTAAATATAATTAATTATAATTAATTATAATTAAATATTTAATTACATTTAATGTTACTATATTTTATTGTTCTTTTTTCTTTTATTTGTTTTTATTTGTTTTTTTTTTGTATTTATATTTATTTACATTTATTTATATTTATATATATTTATATATATTTATTTATATTTATATTTATTTTCTTTTTTCTTTTTTTTTGTGCAGGTATTGGGCCTTATCCTTACCTGTATTATTATTAGTAATAGTAGCATTAGTTTTCTTTAGTTATACATTTATTAATTTATTATTTTCTCCTCCTCCTGATGATATAAGACAATTTACTGGTAAATATATATATAATACCTGCCTATACACCCTATGGTGTGCTGCAGCAGCAGCAGCAGCAGCAGCAGCAGCAGCAGCAGAAGCAGCAGTAGCATCATCCGTAGCAGCAGTAGCAGAAGCAGCAGCAGTAGCTGTAGTCGCAGTAGCAGCAGCAGCAGCAGCAGCAAGGCAGCAGCAACCTACTGTTCCCCTGTGTGTGCTGCTGCTCTGTGGTGTATACGCAGACAGCCGAGCTAGGCCACCATCCCCTGCAGCAGAGCGATCCTTGCAGCTAATGGCTACTGCTTCTGCTGCTGCAGTTGCACGAGCAGCAGCAGCAGCAGCAGCAGCAGCAGGAGACGAACAATTTGAGACTGTTAATTGTCATGACCATCTCCAGCGCCCATTGGTTTCTATGCTGCAGCAGCAGCAGCAGCAGCAGCACGAACAGCAGCAGCAGAAGAAGAAGCAGCAAAGCGGCACTATAGGGGATTTCCCCTTATCTCTTGTGTCTCGTACTTTATTCCCTTTAAATCCTTCCTTAGAGTTGAGGCCCCGCTGCATGCAGGGGGCCCCCACTGCATGCACGGGAGGGGATATGTGCATGCAGGGGCCCCGCTGCATGCAGGGGGGGCCCTGCATGCAGGAGGGGGCCACGTGCATGCAGGAGCCCCTCTGCTTGGGGCCCCCCTTCTATTATGAGGCCCTTAAACCTAAACCTACTCGATGACCCCTAAGCGTAGAACCCACATACCGCCCTTGGGGGCCCCATCTGAAAAAGGGGGGCCCCTCCCATAAGAATAGGGAGGGGAGGGCCCCCCTGAATAAAGGGGAGGGGAGAGGGCCCCCTAAGAAAGGTGAGGGGAGGTATTTGTCTTAAAGGCCGTTCCCCCCCCGAGGAAGAGGCAAGGGGTAATAAGGCTCGTATTTCTTTGGGGGCCCCAGGGGCCCCCAAAGAAATACGTTGGAGGCCCCCAGGGGCCCTCTTAAAAGAGCTTTAGGTATGGGGGCCCCTACCGTGTATCCTGCTTCTGTTGTTGCTGTAGCTGCCTATACACCCGAACCCATTGGCAGGTGTAGTGTAGGGCACACGACACTGCTAGTAGAGGGGACAGCTGCTGCAGCACTAGCTGCTGCTCTGCAGCAGCAGCAGCTGCTGCTGCTCTGCTGTCAATCTGTTTTCTGCTGCCCGGGCTTCCTCTGTAGCAGCGACTCCCGCAGCAGCAGCGGCTGTGCTGCAGCACACGCAGCAGCAGCAGCAACCCCACATGCTCAACTGCGGAGCTGCTGCTGCTGTTGCTTCAGCGATAGATGGTGCTGCGGCGAGGACTGAGTACGTAGCAGGTGCTGCAGCAGCTGCAGCTGCAGCAACGGCAGCAGCAGCAACGGCAGCAGCAGCAACGGCAGCAGCAGCAGCAGCAACGCTTCTGAACTATGTGTATAGCTTCTGAAGGTTCCGCCACTTCTCTCTTAGAAAATACTCTTGACGTTGCTTATGCTGCTTGTGCTGCTGCTGCTGCTTGTTTTGCTGTTGCTGCTGCTGCTATTAGCGCCCCTCCCCTCATAGAACTACAACTAGCTGTAGATGCTGCAGCAGCGGCAGCAGCATTTGAATTTGGTGCAGCAAATGCTGCAGCAGATATTCAGAAATGCTCTCTCTTGCTGGATGCTGCCACTGCTGCTATTGTTGCTGCTACTTTTGCTGCTACTGCTATTGCTGCTGTTGCTGCTGCTCCTCCTGTCTGCTTCCTTGCTATATATACACTGCGTGTGTAAAAGGAGTAAATATTTATTTGGTTTTCTTTAACAAAAGGAAAAGGAAATAATAATAAGGAAAGGGAATAACTGCATGGAAGGCGTCAAGCAACATGAATAGTTGCTGCTGTTGCTGCTGTTGCTGCAGCAGCAGCTCACATTGCTGCTGCTGCTGCATCTGTCATCATACCGCCTCCAAATTCAAGAAAAACCCGCTTACCCAGAAACTGGCAGCTGCAGCTGCTGCTGTTGATGCTGCAGCTGCTGCTGTTGATGCTGCAGCAGCTCCTGCTGCTGCAGATGCTGCGGCAGCTGCTGCTGCTGCAGCTCCTGCTTGTGCTGTGGGCAGCGGAGGGCGGGAGGTGTCCATACATATGAAGTATTACTTCAATAGTATTTGCTTGCAGACCGGCAAAAGTCTTATATAAGATAGCTTTGCCGCTGCCGCCGCAGCAGCAGCAGCAGCAGTAGCTGCTGCTGCAGATGGCTGAGCCAGCTATTGCTGCAGCAGCAGCTGCCGTTTCTGCATAGATCCAGATGCACCGATCTAACAAAGACCGGTATAACAGACACCAAACGCACAGGGCCTCCATGGGGGCCCCTCCTGGGGCCCCTGCTGCGGAGACACTGCAAAAAAAGAAAGACAGATATATACATGTTGTAGTAGACAAGTGTATACATATAGCATAAATGCAAACATCAATATGTCGTGCTGTGGATGCCAATCCTCCCCATGCTGCTGCATTTGCAGTTGTTTGCTGCTGCTGCTGCTGTTGCTGCACCGGGCGACCACAGTTGGCCCCCCCTCAACACAAAAGATACAACAGCAGCAGTAGCAGCAGCAACAGCTGCTGTTGCTGCACGGCCATCTGGGCTATCTGTGGGCCCTAGTGACCAAGTTGCTGCTGTTGCAGTTGATGCTGCTTTTGCTGCGGCGGCAGCTGGGAGCAGAAGCTGCTGCAGCAGGGTGATCAGCAGCAGAAGAGGAAGCCGATGCAGCAGCAGAAGCAGCATGCTTAAGGAGGCTAAGCGAAGGGGTCAGGAACTCGTCAACGTCGCTGCAGTCCGTCAAGCATTGGGGGCAGCCGTCCCCCGCTGCTGCTGCTGCTGCTGCAGCTGCTGCTGAGGGGTCGGAGTAGGCCTGCTGCTGCAGCTCGCTGCAACGGAGGCAGGCTAATCCCAATGGGGACGCTGCTGCAGCACAACGAGGCGAGCAGAGGCCAGGTGCAGCAGGAAACTCTGGTGCAACAGACAAGGCAAACACATTATCGCCTTTCCAGTCAATGCGGTTGCTGCTGCTGCTGCTGCTGCTGCTGCTGCTGCTGCTGCTGTTGCTGTTGCTGCTGCTGCTGCTGCTGCTGTTGCTGCTTCCATCCGTTAAACAGCCTGAAGGTGACACTGCTTCGGATATGCTGCAACGCGTGCTGCTGTCGCCGCTGTAGCCCCCTTCAGCGGTTTGGGGCCCTCGCCTAGAGACACCAGAAGCAGCAGCTGCTGGTGCAGGTGCAACAGCAGCAGCTGCTGCAGCTGCTGCCGCTGCTGCTGCAGTTGCTGCTGCAGCAGCTGCAGCAGCTGCTGCTCTCTGATCCGTCTCCGTCAGGCAGCTTTGGTCCCAGACACTGTTAGAAGGCAGCGGTGTATCTCCACTTGACAAGGAGGTGCAATCGAGCTCCACAATGCTGCTGCTGCTGCTCCTGCTGCTGCTCGTGCTGCGGTTGTTGTTGTTGCTGCTATGTACGCTGTTATATTGACCGAAAGGATCAGCCGGCAACTCTGGTGCTGTTGCAGCTGCTGCTGTGTCAGAGGCAGTTGCTGTTGCTGCAGCAGCAGCACCTGATGCTGCTGCTGCTACGGGTGAGGGTGCCAACGCGAGTTCTGCTGCTGCTGCTGCAGCTGGCGTGCTGTAGCGTCGCCTGCTCCAGCCGCATCGGGAAGAATCGATGTTTAGGGCTTCTGCCAGCTTCCTCTCGAGTTCCAAGCTGCTGCTGGTGTAGCTGCAGCAGCAGCTGCTGCTGCTTCTGCAACAGCAGCTACGCTGCCGCTGCATAGGTAGATCGAAACGTGTCAAGCCCCCTCCGGTGCAGCTCCACCTCCTGCTTCTGCCGCTGCTGCTGCTGCTTCTGCCGCTGTGCTCGTTGTTGGTGGTGCTGCTGCTGTTGTTGTTGCTGGTGCTGCGCCTCTCGAAGTCCTCCAGCGAGACGCAGCTGCTGCTGTTGCTGCTGCTGGCCTCAAGACTACCACATGGAGTTGCTGCGGCTTCCTCATCACAAAGAGACACAGCAAAAGCAGCAGCAGCAGCAGCACCTACTCCCCACGCGCCACCTGAAGCTGCTGGTGTCGACGGTGGTGCCGGTGTCTCCGATGCTGCTGGTGTTGCTGCTGTTGTTGTTGCTGCTGTCGTTGCCGGTGCAGGTGTGAGTGTTGGTTCTGCCGTTGCTGCAGCTCCTGCAGCAGCTCCTCCTGTTGCAGCTATTTCTGCTGAGCAAACTGCTGCTGAGGGTACCACTGCTGCCCCTGCACTTGCTGCACCATTCACTGCTGCTGTTGTTGCTGCTGCAGCCCCTGCAGCAGCATCTCCCTTCAAGGAGCTTGCTGCTGCAGATGAAGGGTTTGCTTCCTGCTCGCTGCAGCACGGTTGCTGCTCCTTATGGAGCTCAGTTGTCAGTTGACATTTTGTTGCTAAAGTTGTATTTGCTGCGGCACAAATTTCCGCTGCTGCCAAATTACCTGCTGTTGCTGCTGCTGCTGCTGCTGCTGCTGCTGCTGCTGGTTGCAGTGAAACGGAGCCAAGTGAAGCAGCCGCTTCACCGTCGCCGCCGTTGCTGTTGCTGTTGCTGCTAAAGATAGGATAGGGAGTAAGAGAATCACCAGCAGCCTGGCCGAGGCAGACAGGAGGAGATTCGTGCTGCAGCTGCAACTGCAGCAAAAGCTGCCGCTGCCGCTGCAGCTGCTTCTGCGTCTCTGTCAGCCGCTGCTGCTGCTGTTGCTGCTGTTGCTGCTGCTCAAATCCCTCCGCCACGTAAACACACCCTCCAACAACAAGGGGACTTGTGTTTACTCTGCGACCAGCGCAGGCACCGAACAAAGTATTGGTGCCTTCCTCTTGTGCTGCTGCTGCAGTTGCTGCTGGGACTGCTGCTGCGGCTGATGCTGCTGGCGTCGTCTTGTGTGTTGCTGCATTCGCTGTGGGTGGTGCAGCTGCTGTTGCTGCAGCTGCCGCTGCCGCTGAGGAGGTGCCAGTGTGGCGGCGGCGCCACATCAGTAAATAGGAGACAGAATGCTTTTTCTTGTGTTGCTGCTGCTGCTGCAGCTGTTGCTGCTGAGCTAGCTGCCGTTGCTCCTCTATGCTTCTTACCACGTGTACACCGTGGCAGCTCTCAGAGAAGCAGCCCACAGCCACGCACGACGCTAGAGCTGCAGGTGCCTCCGGAGCAGGAGCAGCGGCAGCAGCAGCAGCAGGAGGAGGAGTGGGCACTGCCGGCGCTCGGTGAGCAGCAGAGGAGCTGCTTGCTACACCCTGGATGACCTCCGTGGCAATTGTGTTGGATCGTTTCATTGCTGCTGCTGCTGCTGCTGCTGTCTTGGAGTAAGCAGCGCCAGTAGCAGCAAAGATCTTGTCGCTGCTGCTAGAACGGTTATGCTGCTGCAGCTGCTGCCGCCACAGTTTGCTGCTGCTCCATAGGTAGGAGAAGCGGGAAAGACTGGCGATAGCACCTTTGCTGCTGCTGCTGGTGCTGCTGCTAAAGCTTCGGTGTCTCTGCAGCATGCGGCTGCGAGAACCCTGGTGCTGTGGCTGCCGTCGCTGCGGCACCACGGGGAGGCTTTCTACGCTGTCTGAGTTGTTCGCTGCCGTTGCTCTCCCCCTGCTGCTGCTTCTGCTGCAGCCGCCTTCTGCTGCAGTTGAATCGCGGTGCGTTTCGAACAGTGCGGAGAAACTCGGTACAGCAGTTGCCGCTGCTGCTGCTGCTGCGGCTGCTACTGTTTCTGCCTCTGTCAGAACGGACAGCTCATCTGTTGCTGCTGCTGTTGCTGCTAATGATGCAGCTGCTGCGGGTGCTGCTGCTGCTGCTGTTGTCGGTGTCATCGGATGCAGCTCGTTCCACCCAGCAGCACCGAAGCTGCTGCAGTGGTGACAGGAGCTGCTGTTAGTCGTGGTGGTGCTGCTGCTGACATCCCCCACCAAGGTGAGTAGGCCATCAAGGGATCGTCCCCTCCAAGAGCCACCTGGCGAAGCAGCAGCGGCAGCAGCAGCAGCAGTAGCACCAGCTGAAGCAGCAGAAGATGTGGGCAGCATCGAAGGTGCCCCCAGAAGCTCAGCTGAGTCGCTTGCATGTCTGGCCCGCTGTTGCTGTTCCTGCTGCCGTTCCTGCTGCTGTTGCTGCTGTACCTGCTGCTGGCTTCCTCCAGCCAGACAACTGCTGGTGTTGCTGGGGCACGATTGCTGCACTGCAGCAGCAGTTGGTGCTGCAGATGCTGCTGCTTCAGATAGGCTCCCCACAAATACGCTGCGGTTGGCCATTAGGTCCCCTGGTCTTTGCAAAGACCCCACAGCTTCGCCATCTGAGTCTGCTGCTGCTGCTGCTGCTGCTGCTGGTGCTGTTCTCGTATCTGCTTCCCCTGAAGCGCACTGCAGCAGGCTCTGCTGCTGCTGTTGCTCTTGTTGTTGTTGCTGCTGCTGCTGCATCTCCGCATGCTGCTGCAATTCCTGCTGCTGGAATTGCTGCAGATACAGCCGAATAGATGCTTCAGAAGACGGAGAAGGAGTGGGGGTGTCTCTGCTGCTGCAATTCTTGCAGCAGCAAGCGGTGCTGCCAATGCTGCAGTAGCTGCCGCTTTCATGCAGTCCTCGCGGTGCTGCACAGCTGTTGCCGTTACAGGGAGAAGCAACGGTGCTGCTACTGCTGCTGCTGCTACTGTTGCTGCTGTCAAAGCCTTTACAGCTCCTTCCGATGCACTGGGCACTGCAGGTGTCAAGGCTGCTGCTGAGGGGGAGCTGCTGGAGCTTGCTGCTGCTGCTGCTCCTGCGTCTACCTCCCCTCTTGCTGCTGTTGCTTCTTCTGCTGCTTGTCTCGCTGCTGCTTCTTTTCGTGGTGCTCCCCTGCAGTCCCTGCAGCACATCCCCCCCTACAGCCGCCAGCGGGAGCCAAACTCCAGCAGCGCCGCTGCTGCTGCAGCTGCTGCTGTTAGTGTCATCCTGTGGAAAGTCCGAAGAAGCTGCAGCACAGAGGGCTCCGGAGAGCTGCTGCAGCGGAGATGTTGTTGCCGCTTCCGTTGCTGCTGCTGTTGTGTCTGCGGCGGTTCTTGCTGCTCGTGGCGTGCTGCTGCTGCAATGCCCTTTGCTGCGGGAGAGAATACCTCGCCAGCGAGACATGGGCTAGAAGTGGGAACTGTTGCAGCAGCAGATGGATCCTCAGGAGACTATTCCAGTCTTATAAAAGCAACGGCAGCTGGTGTTGCTGCTGCTGCTGCTGCTGCTGCTGTTGCTGCTGCTGTTTTTGCTGTTGCTGCCGTTGCTGCAGCTGCAGTGCAGCAACTCTGGTTCAAGTGTGTTGCGCGTTGAAGCCCATGAATTGCTCTCCATCTGTCATCGCAGAGTGAGGATACACAAGAGGTTCAATTAGGCCCCTCCTTGAAGATTGCTGCCTGCTGCTTTTGCTGTGCTGCAGCTGCACCGCCACCAAAATAAACCGGTGGCAACAGTTGCTCCTGCTGCTGCTTCCGTTGTCGCGCCGGCTCAGTCGCCTGCAAAGCAGGTGGAGAGAGCGAAATGGAGTATTGTGGGGTTGTGTGAGGGCTGTATTTGTTGCTGCTGTTGCTGCAGCTGTGAGTGTTCCCGCTGCTGTTCCTGCTGCTCCTCCTGCTGCTGTCGTTGTTGCGAGTCGTGCAGACGCTGCTCTTTTTACACAAAGAGTTTCTTATCTGTCCTGATATTGAACTAAATGGTATTCAGCTAATTTTCACGTGGAAGGGGGTAAGAAATGCAGCGGACATCCAACAGGCTCTGAGCACTTGGCGAATCTGATATCCGAGATCGACGGAGGAGCTGCAGCAGAAACCGCACCAGCAGTAGCACGAGCAGGAACAGCAGCAACAGCAGAAGCAGCAGCAATAGCAATTGGTAAAGAGGCATCAATAAGGGTCCCTGTAGGGGGAAAGGAAGAAAATCAAAAAAAGGAAATAATCGGCAAATGAAGGAAGAACCGTCAGGAGGGCAAAGGGCGCCAGGCGGGAACTGCGGTGGTTGGCTGTCCATGACAGAACAGTGAAAAAGAGGTAAAAATTGGTTAAATATACACCTAAAGAATGATAAAAAGGTAAAAATATGAAGTAAAAAGAGGATTAACCTTGCAAGACGATAAAAGATGAAGAAGATGACTGCTTTTCGTCCTCAGCTATATATTATTATGTGCTGCTGTGCTGCTGCTGCCTGGGACAGAACGAGGTGCTGGTGTTGCTGCTGTGCTGTTGCTGCTGTCGCTGCAGCAGTTGTTGCTGCTTTTGCCTCTTTTTCTGCTGGTGCTAGCTGAAGTACTAATTTACCTGAATAAACAAATACGTCTAAAATCTAGCAATACAGGAAACAACCTGGAAAAGGGCCCTACTATGCAGGCGCGCAGCCCACGGCGGCCGCTACAACGCGCCATCACCACTGATCCCCCTATCCATGCCGCTTCCCGTTGCTCTATCCCCTAAATACATCAATAAATAGATTTTATGACAAATAAATACATTATAATTGTTGCAAAAAAGAGCTTATTATCTGCCGCTCTCTACTTTTTCCCACTTTGACGCACTCAACGAGAGCGACAGGACTACGTACGACAACAGCAACAGCTCGTCTGCTGCTTTGTGGTCCGCTGCCCTCTTCGTCTGCACCTTCTTCCCAAAGTTTCAGATAATTCAACTTTAAATGTTCCTTTTATACTTCAGGAATGTTGTTTAGCCCATTTTACCTCCTCAGTTGACCCCAGAGGTACTTCATGCACTGCCGTCGCTCACCAGGTCGTGTTCGCATCCCCAGCTATAGCACACGGCTTACCTCTTACGAATAAACACCGATGAAATCAAAAGATGCACTATTCTACTCTTTCGAGTAATTTTAACACTTGAAAATGAATAGCGTTGGATGATTAACTCCGCTTTTGGAGGGGCTGCGGAGGGTTGTCTGCTGGGGTTGAGCGGTATTGTAAACCACACGTTGGTAGGCGTATCTGTACTTGCATGGCATGTGGCTACTAGGGGCAGAACAATTCTTTAACAACTGTCTACCACATTACGGAGTGCTCGCCCCCCTCTCCATACCAGCTACACTCGTTTGTGACGCTATCTATATGTAGAAAGACTGAGCATTGTGGACGAAGACACCTGTTTTGTAAGGACGCTTCAGTTTATTCCAGCTCACAACTCCCTCTTGCAGCGCAATACTTTTCTCTGCTAAGGTTGAGGAATCTTGTTATGTGACTCACTAGCAGGATTATGCAGGCGCCTTTGCGATGCGTCCGCAAATACAGAAAGCAACTGTTAAACATTTGTTTGATTCTCAGCAGCCAGTATGAGGGCATATCTGCGTGCAGTCCTCGAACTCTGGAGGAGCTTGTTTCTAAACAGATGTCTCATGCAGGGTCACCCAAGAGGCAAAAGCATATGAGACATCAAGCATCAGAGACTCGCATTGTGTCTCAGAATGGTACACAATAGGCGCATATCATACGGAATGGAAGAAGAACCTTTCTGTCTACCAGCCAACGGGCAAGCTTCACCAACGCAACTTCGCTGCTACCTCTATTATCGGGCTTCACGTTTTCAGGGGTCTGTTAGTGCTTAGCCCCAATAAATAGAGGTTCAGTACCTGGTCTTAGCCAGGCTGGCGTAAGCGGCTACCTTTTCTTGCTTCGCTGTGTAGGCTTTCCATCGACGGGTTCAAGTCTGTCATCCCTTGGATCTCACTTTGCTTCACAGAAGGTTACTTGTGGCTTGCCTCCATGGTGGACGTCTCTACAAGCCACGGATGTAGCAGCTACGAGTCCACATTTTGAATTCTGTTCACCAAGGACTGACACATTCCGTAATGATGCCACAGTGATGGCTTTCCTGCTTTCCTTCTGAATTTCGGCATAGCCTGTTCGTTTGCTTACTTGACAACAGCCATGCTGCCAAGCTGCATATAGTCTAAGTGTTCCGGGAAGTGGAACCTACAATTTTCGTGCAATTCTGTTTTTCGAGTAAAATTCAGACTGCAATTGCAACTAATTCTAATTCAGGAGAAAGGCGGGAACGATAACGCACATCAACGCAAGCAAGACGTGCTTTCACTGTCTTCACCACCTGGAAGCACAAAGTTTTCGTTTGGCACGCAAACAATTAGCGTCTAAGTGGTTCACATATCTTCAGCTGAAGTCAAATCAGGGTCAAACCAATTCGGAAGTCACTACTAGAGTAAACCCATAAGGGCATCGTATTCCAACAGCTTCATCCTTGGATTTGCTCGCATCACTGCTCCACCGAAAAGGATACGCTGAAAACAAGGACCTCTTCTCTAGTTGTTCTCCAAGTAGGTCGCTTTTCCTAAGATGCCAGCATCCCCATTAAAACTTGGAATCGTCTTAAGCACTCGTAATCATTGATTGCAACAATTCTCCTTCCAAAGAACCAGTGCCAATGACACAACGATTGATATACTGCTATCCCAGCACGCGGAAGGTTCAAACAGCACCAACTAAAATCCTTTTCCTCACACCCTTTCATAGAAAGGGGGCAGAAATATCGCAGACGCGAGGAGAGGCGCCAAGTGATTTGTTGGGGAGTGGAGAAGTGTAGCTACTTATTCGTCAAGCATTCCACTTTTTCACACTGATCGTCGGTCCCTATCATGTGAAGAATTTCCCATACTTCTATAAGGAAAAGGTTGTTTGGCTGCTTTGCTGATTATCGCAGCGTGTTCATCTGTGGAATCACCGGAGTGCGAGCATAAGCATTCCCCGGATTCCCAACCAGTCAGGCCATACGTTCTGCAGCTGCTCTTGTCTTCGATCATTCATGTTTCCTTTCTAAGCGTCATTATTCACATTACTTGATTCTTACTAGGTTGGAATATTTGCCTTCGGAAGAACGTTTGAGGTGGACGACGTGTTCAGGAATCAGCATATAGACTGCTATTGCCACTCAGCAAGGCTTGTAGCGAGGTGTGCCGCAGCTAATGGCAGCCGTGCTCATCCCCTCACCTATTCAGGCCTTTGATTCAGTGCACCTAGGACGTCTGGAAATTCGGGGATGCCAGTTGCGTCAACAAGGGGCACCCTACACATCAGTGCCTCCGCTATGTTGCAGTCCTCGTCATCTTAGTTGCAACAAGCTATGTGTATAACTACTTGAAACGTGAGTGGACAGCTACTTTGAGACAGGACCCTTGTAGACGCCATTGTTCCTGTTGATATTCACACTGCGGGCGCTGCACACTGTGCTCGACCCAAACAGCATACGGGTACATAATGGGGAATTACACGATGTTTCCTGGGAGAATGTGAGCAGAAACAGCAAATACTTCTTACAATAATCACGCTGTGCCTCCCTCTATTGCTGTCGCAGCAAGTCCTTCCAGTTCACCGGTGCCTGCATGTCTAAGGAGCTGGCATTCAACTCAGAGAACCTAACGCACTGTTTCACCACTTGAGTTTTTTGGAATATCCTGTGGACTCAAAGAAGCAAGGTGAACAGAAGTGTTCGGGCAACCACAGATCTGAGCGTCTAATGCGTGTGTTAGATATCATGGCTACCTACGTAAAAGTTAGATGCAACAGATTATGGGAGTGAAATGCATATTCTGCTGCAGTATTGAATTAAAATATACACAATAATATCACGAGCAAACAGCATTTTGCACTGGGAATGCAATAGACAGAAGAGCTGTACGGAAGCCAACGGAAGCCGTTGAGAGTTGGTTTTGCATTCGATCGTGTGCGTACGCCGTTTCGAGTTCGAACTGATCACCTGGGTCGTGGCATACCAGTGCTTCTCAGAATCAGCGTTGTTGTGGTTTGTGTGTAGATAGTATTTTATTTTCAGTTTTTCTTACTTTCTTTCAAGGCTTCTTCTTGTGTGCTCTCTGGAGACAATGTCTTGCCCGAACCTCGCTGGAGTGGACCTGCTGGCAGCGGCCAGGTGCCGCACACTCTACAATGGAGTGAAGATGCCTCTTATTGGTTTGGGCACCTGGCGCCTTCGGGGCGATCGGCTTCGATCTGGAGTTTTCGGGGCTCTAAATGAACGCTACGGTTTGATTGACAGCGCTGCGGTGTACGGTAACGAGGAGGAGATTCGGCAGTTGCTGAAGGATGCTGGTTAGTCTGGCTTCGAAGTAGTGCGCTCTTAGTGGCGTTTTGTTTAGTTAGCAACTAGAGCTTCACAGGTTAAACGCCGGCACAAGCACACTGAACGGTTTGAGTTGTGGGGTGACTGAACGGCGTTACTGCAGGCAATCCCCGTGTTTTCTTAACATCCAAATTGCAGCCTGGAGATGCTCAGGGCAAGGATGCTGTGCTTAAGGCTTTTGAAAAGACTATCGAGCGCCTGGGAGTCAAACAACTTGACCTGTACCTGATCCATTGGCCAGGTATATAGGCGCCGCCAAGTTCAAGTGGTGCACGGCAAAGTGAAAGTGTGTCTTCTTGGGAATGTAGGACAGGTCCCTGTGTCCGTACCTTCACATTTATTGCATTCACACCTGTCCAATATCCTCTTTTCATAAGGAAGTGTGGCTTCTATCTGGGAGCTCCCAATTCAGTAATGCACGCTGGAATACCCACGATTTTGTCCGTTGCAGGGAGCGGCGGAGTAGACGCCAACAGTAAAGTGAACAGGCAAAGGCGTATTGAGAGTTGGCGAGCGCTGGAGCAGCTTTACGAGGAGAAGAAAGCAAGTCGTCAATAACTGTTTGCCTGTGGTGTTCGTTTTACGCTCTTGTGCGGGCATTAGCATCTGTATAGGTTTGCCTCCAGCTTGTACCCATCAGCATGCATGTATGTGCATGTGTGAGCTTACACTGCACTCACGTTCAATGATGGATTGGTGATAACAGAGTAATACAAGGGGTGGCATTGTTTGCGAATATATTTAGTGTAGAGAGATTCTCGTATGGCATAGGTCCGCGCCATTGGCGTCTCGAACTTCCTAGTCCCCCACCTCGAACAGCTGATGGAAGATGGAGCTAAGATAAGGCCCATGGTGAACCAGGTGAGCCTTATGGTGGAACACCTCTTTGTCTTTCATGGGGTTAACAGGCCTGCGTGATAATGATGGGAGAGGGCTCACTAAGTTAGCTTGCCTGCGTGTGGAAGAGACTTTCTAGCTAGCTGACTTGTTGAGGAGGGAAAATGGGGGCAGGTTGCTGCCCCAATATCTTTTGTCCTGCTCCGTCGTGCTGTGGTTGTGCCTTGCCGCTGTGAAGTTTTGGCCAATGACGAGCGTTATGCGATTGTGTGCGTGCATTGGCGAGTGCAGGTTGAGTGGCACCCAATGTGTTGGGTGCCTGATTTGATTCCATATGCGAGGAAACACAGCATCGTGCTCCAGGCATACTCATCTCTTGGGTCTGGGGAGAACAGGTTGTTTGAGCATGAAGTCGTAAAGGAGGTGAGGGCTAGTGGGAGAATCTTCAAGGGTAGAAGGGGATCTGATTCTTTCTAGTTACTGCGACACTAGCTCACATTGACAAAGATCAGTAGGTGCTGTGAAAGGTACAGTGGGATTGAATGGAAGCTCAACCTTTTGCGATGGGCTGGGAGGGAGAGCATCCTGCTATGAACACATTATTTTACAGTTGCAGTTCTGCTCTCTCGACGTACTGAGGCTGCTTTCATCCTTTCACTTCTACTTTTTGTCCTGTTGCAGATCGCTGAAGAAGTCAACGAAGCTCCCAGCGTCGTGCTGCTAAGGTGGGCGCTGCAGCAGGGCCTCTTGGTAATCCCATGCAGCACATCACAGGAACATTTAAGAGAAAATTTGGCAGCCCTTGATGTGGTGCTGTCGGAGGACCAGATGGAGCGACTGTGTGCCATCCGTGAAAGCGTCACGCATCGCTTTTGCTGGGATCCGAACACCATCGCCTAGAGTCGCAGTCTGAAGTCAGACGCCCTTTTGGCGGTATGGCGTAACCACCGCTTATATTCATGCACGTGCGGCTGCTTGGTGCTTCTGCAACGACGGAGGCGACGAGCTGTTTCCTTTCTTTTAAATTCCATGGCCACCAAGAGGGGAAAGCCTCTCACATGCCAGTGCTTCCACTCAAGGCAAGCTAATAAGCCTTTATGCCATTGCTTCAACAGCCCGTTCTCGCCATTGTGCCCACTAAGCCTAAGGAGTGGGGGATGGCTGCAGTGTAGTTGGCCGACTGTTGACTGCAATTATGGGTACACGCAGTGCTTATTGAAAAAATTTCTTCTGTGTAATCTTTCGTGCAAATTAAGTTATGCAAATTCTTATTCAGAATCACCATCAGCTGTGCCTTCTGTTGCCCCTGCACTTATTACGACAGCTGCACCAGGAAGGAATCGTGGAGTTTGTACTCATGCAGATACGCTTGCGCTAGGGAGTTCGAAATATGATGGGTTGAGGGTTGGACACGTAAGCACGTATTCACAGTCGCTCTTAGACAACAGGATAGCCCAATCTTAGGCCTGTTTAATGCTTATTCGAGGTACTGCAGCAGTGCAATGCAGGCAACAACAAAGCGTACTGTTTAGGGCGGGTTGAGTTTTCCAGGTGATTTTATGCTGAAAGCCACATTCCTTAGCAGTAATCTAATCTAATCAATGCGAGACAGTAGATTGTAAATTTAGGGGAGGTGGTAGATCATCGCCTGCCATTTGCAGCAGCCGTTGCCTTCGTGGCATCCTACGGTGAGGGCGAAGGGTTCGTGAGGAGGGTGGTTATATGCATTGTAACCGAATCAACAGAACCGATATGATCACAATGGAGTCATCTTTAATGTGGATGCTCCCTCATCCCCTTTTGCCGCATTGGACGGCAGCAGCCCAGTAGAACGGGCAGCCCAAGGAGACAGCGCAGGGGAGGACCCTGTGTGATGTGCTTCTCTAGTTTGCTAGGGACAAAAATGCAGTTGTTTTAAACGACGTCTTTAATTTATATAGCCTGCTTAGGTTTGTATGGCATGGGGAATTCACGAAGTCACCTGTCATCGCTTTCACGCTTACCGGCGGTAGAACCACTGTAGGCGCGACAGCAGCTGGTGCTGGGTGATCTAGGGGCCCTGTCTGCAGCCTGTCTACCATATACTAATGCTGAACCCTAGAACATCATGAAATTCCTCTTTAAAAATCAACGTTGATATTTTGTTTGCTCAACTTGGGGCACTCCTACGGGCTGATCGCGTGTAGCGCTCGCCTTCCCAGTGGTCGCATTGCACTGCCGGCCATGCGATTCTTCGTTTACGACGGCATTCGTGTGATGTCATGACCTTTAGATCTGTGCGAACTATGGTTTTTCCCTTTCAAGCTGTCTATACAGTGGGAATTTGTGAGCAAAGAGGGGCTAGTCGGCTGCCACAGTGGTGGTCCAGGCTGCATACAGCCTGCTTACAGAAGCCTTTCGATAGTATCGGGGGAACATTTATGCTCAGCCTTTAAGTGAACAGCCTTGGACTGCATTGCAACCATCGGGTTGATTTCTCGCTGGTGCACCCGATATGCCGCTTAAGTTCGGCCTGCTTTCCTGCATTCGCCTCCTCTCCACCGCCCCCCGCCCGTTGCCTGCTACAGTGTTGGTCTGTAGCGTGGAGGGGGAGAGCAGGTGCCTGCGGATGCCGCATTAATTCCTGCTGAAATAGGCGTTTGTTGGCTCCTCGTCCGTGTCTGTGGTTTGGCCACTCGTCTTGCTGCCCTGCAGAGTCAGGTTGGCATCGAATTCGAGCAAAATAAGCCGAAATGTCCTGCTGGCGATCCTGCTGCGGTAACTTCTGGGGCAGCAGCAGCCCCGCCCCATCTGAGATAGGCAGCCACCGCACTATGGCTTCCAAGGCATCGACTGCATCTACGCAGTCTTGGGAGGAGGAGGCCGTCGAGGTAGAGGCTGCCGAAGAGCCTGAGGAGCAACCGAACTTCCAGCCTCATAGCGAGGCCAATGCAGATCTTCTTGCCAAGAAGTGGATCACTCATGTGCAGAAAAGAGCGGCCAAGGTCTGGGAAAGGGAGCAGGTTCTCAGTCTTCTTCGGACCATAGCGCTGTAAGCAACCCCCCGTACACCCCCCCTTGACTCAGCACGGGTCCTCGTTGATCTAGTCTGTACCTACTTTTTGCAGAACTAGCCGCTGATCCTCTCATGCATCCCTGATTTTGCTTTCAGCATAAAACTAGTTGGTGTATTTCGAAGGCTAACTTGCGGTTTTCTGGCTTCCTTTCGCAGAAGCATAAGCTTTACAGACGATCCCATTCTTGGGGATCCGTCCCCCACCGCCCCTTGCGTGCTGTGGCACGGGGACACTTCGCTGGAGCAGGGCCTTCCCGTTATTCAAGTGAAGAAAAGTGGTCAGGACACGACAGTCCCCAGTTACGTATGCAAACTGTTGTCCTTCCTTTTTGCGGACGACGAATCCCTCAAGATGCTTAAGCAGGCAAGTAGCATACAGCGCATCTCCAACAATATTAGCAACGCATATTTAAAGTAAAGTGTTTCAGACCGAAGAGCATCGACACCCATACTTATATTGTCACACTGCACAGACAAGCTTCAGCCGAAACGACCGAGAACGTGAAGGAATCTTGCGCATGCAGCATTCTGCTGTATTAGCGCATCAGCTGCATTGATTTTGCTTTCAGCAAACAGCTTTCCATAGGACTCGGCTGGTGTTCCTGTTTGTATTTGCTTGTCTGACAGACGGCAGCTGGGCAACTCAGCATGAACTGCGGGAACTCGCAATGCATTCGGTTGTCTCATTTTGTGGGATATACACCGCAGTGGGCGGCCAAGTACCAACCCCCTCCCAAGGCCAAGGCGCAAGCCAAAGCTAAAGCCAAAGCAAAGGCTCCACCCAAGAAGGCATAGGAAAAACGACTGAGGAAAACACCAAATAGTAAGGATCAGAGCTTGCTTGTGTCTTTCTCCGCCGCTTTTTATCTTTTGTATTTAGTACTGCTAAAGGGCCATATTAGAAACTGAAAGTCTCGCTCCCATTCCATCTTTGCTTTTCAGGTTTTGTTCTGCCGTGCTCCCAATCCTCACGCGACAACAATGAAGTTTATAAAAGCAATTGACCTGTTCCAATTTTGCAAAGGCTCCTCTGGAATGAACAAGCCACTTGTACTTGTTGTACTTGTACTGGCAACGGGGACCAGGGAGAGCGGTGGGACCGTAGAATCTGTCCCCGCCTGTGCCTGTTCTAGCATTTGAAACTTGCCATTAAAAGCGTACGAGCATGGTTGTGGGATACGTAAGCGATAACGGCTGCTTGTCGCTTCCTATAGCTAATATCGGTGTTACTGCAAGACACTTAAGGGCTTGGGTTTAGGGTTGCAGGCCTTGATGTTCCTGTTGCTTTTCTCTGCGAGCGCCTTCTGCTCACACCCAACGCCCAGCGTTGTGTAAGGCTCTACAGTCTGCTGTTCTGCCCTTCCATAACTCAGTATTCTTATTCTGTACTTCCTTACGAACACCAACCCAACTTGTTGCAGGGGTCCTACTGACCTCCCCTCCCAATTTCGTGAGTAGGTGAGACTGAGCTCAGCGACTTATGCACATGTAGCTGCGGAAGAGGACGCGGCATGCAGGAGTTGCAACGCGCTTTGCAGCAACTCAAGGCACAAGGTGCAAGAGCGCCCGACATACGGGCAGCAACAAGCATTCTTGGTTCCACGCACGGACATTGTAGACCATTTCTAAGAATTTTTGCACGCGTAACGTTTGTTTAAGGGTTCATGGGCTCACTTGATACTGGCATGCCTGCATCGAGTCCACTGTGCGACAGATTAACACATTTTGCTGAACCACTGCGGGAATAGATCCCAGTTATCTGGCCCAACGCCTTTCTCGGGCCCTCCCCTTATTGCCTTCGGTCGGATTAGGATATGATAGACAGAGGAGGTAGCGCGCATCTGCAGTAGAGGACCAACCTAGGTGGCTAAGGACGTAACCTCTAGGGGAAGGGTTCAGTTTCAAATTTTGAAGGAATCCGCAGAAGTCTTAGCAACTGTCGCGGGCCCGTGGGCAACAACAGTTGAAGACCTCCAATGGCGCTGGCAACAGATGAACACAAGGTCTGCCTACGCACCAAATAGGGCCTATCGACTTACAACAGCCGCTGGGGTACGCTAGCCACTGGAGACAAAGCTGCGGGGTCGAAACCCTGTGCCATCAATGAGGGAGGAGGCCCCTCGCAATGTAGTGCCCATGTAGCAACGCAAGGGCGCGTACGAATGGAAGGACGTGCATGAAGTGTTGGGGATTTCGACGCTATGCTAAATATTGCCCTACGCCCAACCGCAGGGGAATCCAACACGCGCGAAGGCCTAGACAGCCACTGACACAGCTTAGCGAATAGAAGACACAACGTTAAATAGACAGAGTCTAGGAAGTGAAGGAGACAAACGTGCTAGGCTGCCTACTTATGGTAAAGGGATGATGTGTGCAATGGCGACAGGGCTTAATGCCATTCCAGACTCTCCAGAGTGGGAAGAAAAGATACTTCACATTGGCGGCTTGGCCGGTGGGGAACCAGGCGAGGCCAGGACGGGTCAACGTGTTAACAGTGGAACAGGAGGCGGCGGAGACCACATGTTTGTGGAGGCAGAACGACCGAAGGCAATCTATTCCTGCAGTGGTGGTGTGAGTTACGTGTGGATGAGAACGAAGGGAAGTGAAGTGGGGTATTGTGCAGTGTTGGGACGTTTGCAGCACTCCTTACCGATACCCAATCACCTATGCAAAGGGGGCAGTACTTCTGCTCCCTACAGAGACCAGCTAGGCGACGATACAGCCCACCCCACTAACCCGAAACTACGGAACGCCCCACACAGGCTCAAATGAGATGGACGAGCGGTAGTAACTCACGAAGTTGAGTACAACACAATCTAGAGTATCCAGCTCAGGCCGGAAAGGGGGGAACCTGTAGTGCGCAGGAACTACAATGGCTCTCCCCATGAAGCCTCTAGCGGCTGTATGCACGAATTGGAATGATGTAACATATTATTAATGATAAATTAAAGCATTTATGCATGAAATGCGGCAAATCGGCTACGGGCTCCAACAGCCCATCTCGGCCGTGGGGCTGGCTGGGACGCTGAGGCACTGACCCGTCTTTAACGGTCCGGACAGACAGATCTATTTTGGATCTCCTTTTTGCATATAGGGGGAGTGGAGATTTGTGGTTTGCTTGATTGGTGTTATTTTATGAGTAAGAATCGGGATTCCGCGCGTAGCAGTTAAGCTGTACTATACAGCTAGTTCCGAGGACTTGAGTAGTCGCAGCCGAATGTGAGCCGTGTACGACAACAGATTCCTACGCCTTCGCTGGGGCTTCCGCCTCTCTGGGGCTCAACGTGATACACAGCTATAACCTAGCTCTTATATGTTTTTGAAACTCATGATACAGCGATCGGCCATCTAGATTTGCCCCTCAACTGCTGCAACAACAGCGGCAGCAATAGCTGCAGTAGCAGCCCCGTGCAGCAGCAAAAGTAGCAACAGCACCAGACAGCAAAGTGAGTCATACCTCGCCATAAACCCTCTCCTTACAGCGAATTCTTTATTCTGAGCCTTCATGGAGCGCACGCTAGCGAGCTCATCAGCCCACCGCAACTGTGACCGCATGCAGCACCCGAGCATTGGTAGAGACAGGGGTTGTGGGTACGCTACAGCGTCCGTGTCTCATCAGAAATGCCTGATGAATGGAGATTTGTGCTAAAACAGCATATTTCATTCTCCATTTCTGCAGGGAAAAGAGCAGCCCCCAAGCAAAATGTTTCGCCGGGCTCTTCCACCCGGCAACCAGTCTCCTTTAGGCAACAAGGACAGAAAAAGGTGGGATCCCATTAGATGCTGCGACGCTTGCTACTTGCTTGGTTATGCGTGCTCGTGGATGGAGGGGACACCTGTCTAGCTGGCAAGCTAGTATGCCAGATAGGTACTTCGCGCGGTTTGAGAGAGAATGAAGGGAAAAGCCCAATATCACACCACATGCCAATAATACGAGACCTTTGTATACTGACTTCTGAGGGCATCTGATTTAGTGGCTGCAACAGAAACCTTTTCCTTGTGCCTATTGCTGCATGCATCTTTGGACCCAAGGGACGTGCTCGTGATTGGAGGAAGGATGTGCATTTGCCTTTCGCTGGTTGTGTGTCTCCCAAGTATTCGTCTTCGGTGTTTTTGTCCCTATGTCTCTTCCGCGTCTGCAGACTGCGCGAAACTCTGCTGAATAATTTCCCGCTGCTGACTGAAAGTGATGTGGATTTGTTAGTACCTAAAGAGGGAGTGGTGCAATCCCGCCTAAACCTCCCCCAAGTCCCCAAACCGGCTGGTGGGGGCCCCCAGCAGCCGGGGGCCCTCACTCCACTTTTGAGCTCCACAAGCACCAACAAGTGCACCCTATATTCTGTGGGCGACATTACTTTCCTCGCGGAGGTGAATGGGATCTTTTTCCCCACGGTGCGCTGGCTTCCCTTCTACAACCAAAAGGCCCTGTAGACGGCTTATCTTCTCGCTATTCATCTGGGTCTTCCCACCTTGTGACTCCTCCCCGGCGAGCCACAGGCATGCATGTTGGAGTGTTGCCGCTGCTGCTGTTTCCCTGCTGCAGGTGCACGCCCTCTGGCGCTTGCCCAAGATGCTTCCTTGTATGATTCTTCTGTCTCCTGTGTCGCACTTCGTGCTCAAGGGCGCGGATTTGATGCTCCCAGGGGTCTGCAGACCCTTGACAGTGGCTGCAGCGCACGAGGCCGGAGTGCGGAAGATCAACTGCGGCGAGCTGTGGGCGATTCGCGTGGCAGGCAACGCTTTGCCCTTTGCTGTGGGGCGCGCAGTCGCAACAGTCCCCTCTTTGGAGCTATTAGGTGACAAAGGCAGGATCCTGGAGCTCATGCATTGCCTCGGAGACGCCTTGTGGTAAGCAACTAACAGTTGTTTGGTCACCTCCCACTGTTTTTGCTTTCTCCACTGCAGTGGCTCTCTCTGTTCTGTATCGGCTGTGTGCGAATGGCCGGGGGCCCTTTACCGTCTGTGTGTTCGGCTCCTTGCTACTCTGCCTTTTTCTTAATTTCGCCCCTAGCATTTTTCCAGTCTAGAGTTGTTTCTGTCTCTGTTTTTTCGGCTCGCTTCCAAGCCCAACCGGCTGTCTTACCGGCTACCTTTTGCTCACATTGTGCTCCTACAAGTGTTGCTTGTGCCCATCAGGAAGCATGGAAAGCCCACGCCATTGCCCCCCTTGTTTACCTTTAGTCAAGTCTTCAGTGGAGGGGATGACGCTGAGTTGCTTGCCGCTTGTGGCATGGGGCCACCAGAGTCGCTTCCAGGAGCTCGACCGACGGGACAGCAGCAAGAGCAGCAACAGGAGGAACAGCAGAAGCCGGAGGTGGCCCAGGAAACAGACGTTGTAGCTGAGAGCTGCAGCGGAACTGATCCCGACGGACACGAATCGGCGGGGGGCGCTGCTGCGGAGCCTGAGACAGAGGAGGCTGGTGGTGGGCAGGCCGGCCCGTTGGCCGCCTCAGGAGACGAAGGCCCACCAAAAATGGCGGATCAGGGTTTGACCGTGGAGGTGAGGCAGCTCGGCGTGTAGGAGCATCTCTCTGAGCCATTTCTCAAATTCTGTGCATGTGCATTATTGTATTTGTATTTTCTGTGGCTCCAGAGGGGCAATGATCACATAGACACCGATAGCCACCAATGTACACACGGCAATATCTATGTAGGGATGCCTGAGTTGGACTTATCTGCGTGCCAACGCTTGCATCTAGCGTTTTGTGGAGTAAGCATATCAAGATGTGCTTTATTGCGCATTTCCATTCGAATGCGTGTCGTCTGCTTGCAAAAACACGCATCTCTAGAGGTATGCGCACGCATCTAAACATCTGCGCAACCACCTAGATGCGTTCGTGCGTGCGCACGAAGGTGTCGACAAGTGCATGTATGTCTCTGTTTAGGTACATGGATACATTATTATATCATGTATATGTATCCATGTACATTATGTGCACAAGTATGCACAAGTATACATGTGGGGGCATGCATAAAGTGTAGTATACGCACTGTCGGATATTTACCTTTAGTGGACTGGCCTGCATGCATATATATACCCATGTATGAAGTTTTACAATCCTGCCGTTATGCTTGTTTAGGAGCAAGATAAGTACCTGGCTTTGTGCTTGCTGGAAACATTGCATGCTATTTCGGACGACCAGCTGCCCCTCGACGTCTCCGCACTTTACAGGCAAGTCGGGACGCGGGAATGATAAAGCATATACACACTTGAGCCGCTGCTCCAGCAGGGCTGTTAGATGGCTTATGCAATACAATTTCTGTGCCTGGAACCAACTAAATTAGTGCTCACGTCAACATACATAGCATGGAAACAGTAGAAATACGGGAGATGTAGGTTAGTAGATTAGCATCATGCGATCTGCCACTGGATGGTGCCACTGATTTGTAGAGAATCACACCAGTTGCCCTTTAACAACCTGTGTTCTGTGAGTCCGCGCACCATTTCCGTTTCCACTATCTGCGTCCGACGCCTGCAGCAAACTAACAGCGGCAGCTCCAGCCATTTTTTACACAAAGATGGCGAAGGGAGACGTTCCTTTTGTTGCCCCCGACATACGGCGTTCGTCAGCCAAGAAGGTCAGTGGACAGTTGCCGCTCCTGCTGTTCTGACTGGCGTTGTTCCATGTATGTTGCTGGAGGATATTAAGAGAACGTATTGCTGGCTTTATATATAGTCACATTGCGAATAGTGCAATTTCTTGAATAGTATTTCTAATTTTGTTCCCAACAAAACATGAAAAATCCATTTGTAGTTAACTATATTTTGAATTGAACACAATAACTTCGTGCACCCTAAATTGCCTGTCAGCAGCTCGACGTCCGCTGCCTTTAAACGGCGTAATTCCATTGGCTGATTTGGAGATCAGGTATGGGGTGTGGTGCTGCGGTATACGAACAGCTGGCAAAGTTCATTCAGGGGGCAACCAAGCAGAAGCTTCTGCAGACGAAGGAGCAAAGAGGGGTTGTCTCTGTCGTCAAAATAAATCGTTCGCACCCTGAGTACTGCAAGCACACACCCGTACCCGAGAATCGGAAAAAGAAGTACATTGAAAAGGCAACGGTACCTGCTACGGCATCAGTTGCGGGTGCCGCCGGGACTGCAGTAGCAGCAGAGGAGGAAACACCGCGAGGGACACAGACAGCTGTAGGGACTGCGGCTTCCAGCTCAGGTAGACTTTCAGGATCTGCATTTTCTATGGTGCAAGCTTGTGTGTCTGTCTTTATGGCCGCCTGCCTATGACTGTTTATGCCAAGCAAACACTCAATGGATAGGGCCCGTTCCTTTCTTATGCGATACACTGGGTAGCTAGCTGTCCCACTGACGGAATGGAAGACTTACTACCTGGCCGTTGACTTTCCTGTAGCAGGCTAGCTAGCGCTCTGGCTATTACCCTAGCATTTGATCTAATTTCTGCCATTCGATATGAATCATGCTTCCTGTCTTTCAGGCCCTCTCCTTTTGGAATTTTGCGCCCCCCCCGCTAAATGCTGCAGAATATTTGCGGCAGTTGGAGCGCGCACTGGGAAGTAAGTAGAAAACAGACGACGCGGTAGAACACGCATACACTTGCTACTTTCCTGTAGTCAAATCTTCCAGAAATTTGAGCATTTCTGCATTAAAGGAGGTCGTTACGATTAGTCTCTCACCCCTGCCTATCTTTTCGCTGGGTCTCTGCATCCTAGGCTGTTGGGAGACCTCTGCAAAACCTTTCAGGCCTCTGAATCCCCTGAATCTGTGCGCTGGTGCTGTGAAATGACGTAGGAACGTCTTTTTTACCGCCGATGAGTACAGGCAGGTGCTGGTTAAGTACTTGGAACAGCAAGATACAAAGAGGGAAGAAGGCGAGACAAGCGAGCCGCCTCCAGGCGAGAGATGCAATTCAGTCAAAATCGATCCTCTGTTGGCTGAGGCGGGTGCGTGTAATTTTTAGTTTCGGGCCTGTTGCCAGAGTGTGCCGCTTCTGCGTTGTGTGCACTTACTCTAGTGGCCGGAAAGGGACAGTCGTGCAGAGCTGGAAGGTGAGACGCAGTTATGTGGTTATCTTTCCTGCCACCGGTATTTTTGCAGTGCTGACGAAGGAAGAAATGAGGGACGCAAAGATGGGAGAGGAGGAAAGATTGTTAATGGATAAGGGGGAAGTTTTTGTTAGGTGGAAAGAAACTGCGCTGCCTTGTCACGCCGTCCTCAGAGATGAGAGCGAGCTACCGCTTCTGCAGGAGAGGATAGTGTACGCACACTTTGAAGCTGCGCAGCCTTTGATCCGAAATATCCAAAAGGGAGGGGGGATGACAAGCAAAATCGGAAGAGATGGAATGACTCGAAATGGCTGTTACTTGTGCGGCAGCTGCTGATGCATGGATTGGGAATGGGTGGTCTTTGCTATTGCTGTCATGCCTGTTCCACAGTTGCGCTATTCTGATTGTGGCTGTTTCAGGCGAGGTGCCTGCACTCCCGTGCGCATTTCTGTAGAGGAGAAGCAAGGAGGGCGGAAGCACGCCACGCACATTTTGTAAGCCTTTGACTAAGGAGGAGGGGGGAGCAGCACCAGTAGTTACTGCGGCAGCATTTACGGAAACAAGGGGACTCGCCGCCCTGCCGTTGCCTTGTGCACAGCTCCAACTGCGCCCACATTGCTGCACCTCTTGTGGTTTATTCTTTGTTAGGAACGCCACTAACTTCCTTGTAGAGCCCAAGACCCTTGCCGAATTTTTGCAGAAGAAATTGGCAGCCTCGGCCTCAGTCTACGCGCCTCCAGGCACCAAAGTGACCTCTGGCGTTTGTGTCCAGGTATGCGGAGGTCGGCAACCAGGCTTTTGATGTTCTTACGCTGCGCAGCACGTGTATAGCACATGGTGTTTCGATCTAGAGTAGCAGTCTAGATGTAGGATTTAGTTCAGTGTGGCATCAAACCTCAGGGACAGCGTTCTAGAGATTAAAGCTTGAATAGAGTGCTCTGGGTTCTGTCTTCGTGTCGGCTGAGTGGATATTCAGTCACAGCGGACAAGCAGAGATTGTCAGTGAAATCGGGCGGGGAGCATGTTGGCTATCCGCCGCTGCAGAGAACAGCCTTTGCAGAGGAATAAACCATAAGTGGTTAGACGACGTTAGGCCTAATAGGGGAGTTTTTTTTACTGACGCCTACTGGCCACGTGTCCGTGTGTGCGTTTCATTTCCACCAGGGCAACGTGGCACGGCAAGTGGCGGATCTCTTGGTTTCTCAATTTGGCATTCCGAAAAAGTTTGTGGAGATAGACACGAAAAAACCTAAGTCAAGTCGATGAATCTACAATGTTTCTGCCGTTCTGAATGCACAAGCATGCGCTGGTGCGTTTTCACAATTCCTCTTTTTGGTTCTCTGACTAGGTGTCCCGTAAACAAAATTTTATACTCTGTTGCACCGCCGGGCCTGAATTGTTCTCTATACATTCACTAGGTGTAGACTAAGACGATCTGTAGAGACATACAGCGCACTTAGTGGCCTCCCTAGCTTTGAAGGTGGCCACTTCTGCGTAGCTTAAGGACAAACGCGGGCCAAGCGGCGTGTGTGTCTAATCCAACACGAATCTGCGAAGAACGTGTTGTGTGTACTTAAGGCTGTAAATTTCGCGAAAGTGTGTTGATAGGACAATTTGTTCTGCTTAGCATACAGGCATATAGATGGCATATAGATATTTGCACTGTAGTTGCACGCGAAGCACATTCCGCTGAGTGTTAGGGTGGCGTGGGTGAGTCTCTTAGTACTGACACTCCAATTGCATCGGAGTTGGCGACGATCTCTTCTCGTGGACCGATACGAACTCAGTTCCAAAGGATTAGTGGCTCTTTCGTTGATGAGAACTCAGACGGTTGCGAGCAGCAATCTGACAGAATGCGATTGCACTAATCTTATGTGGAGTGAATGTGGCGGGCCACTAGGAGTATTACCTATTCGGGAGTGTATGCATGCACGAGCATCACAGTACAGTACATCATGATTTATTCACAGGTAACGACAGCAGTACATCGTTGTGCTGCGTGGAGTTTAAACCCCGAGACATTGAGAAACTCACTAGTTCCATTTTGGTCAGAGCAGGCGGGGCATCCACGATGCTTAGGGGGTTATCATCCTTCCCGAGGACACCGGACGATTTGAAGGATGAACGAACTCCTTTTAGTGCGAACAAGACTACTGCATTCAGCGTTAGCCTCAGAAAAGACCACTGCGTTGAGCGCTGGTCTCAGGTTTGGTGCTGTTTGGCTTGGAAGGCTACCGGTGTTGTGGAGGTAGTTCTACCATGAACCACACGACAGGGTCACTGCTCTTTTCTCCTACACTGTATACGATCAGCTCTTTAATTTAAGGAAGTTTGCGCGGCAAAGACGTTTTTGCGCAGGTGACTCCTCTCTGCTGTCATCGATGCTGATTTTTTTCCTGCTGCCACGTAGTGAGGGAAAACTGCTGTGACGCCTTTGTAGAATTCACCTAATAAGGAGCCTCAGGAACTCCTAGGAATGCAGTTGTTGCTCAATATGTGAAAATGCCAACACAGCACGCTTCATCTCAAATGGCTACCAAGGCAAGCTATTTGAAACATATATGCAAACACGCCGGCAACCTGATGAGGAGCTTTTCCAGCTGGCGTCCCCGCTGCCTACTGGGGAATGGGAAGACCCCGACTGTTGTGTTTTCGAAAGTCACGTTGTTGGTGCTAGAGCGACTTGGCGGTGCCTGAAACGCAACCTTTGTGCCTTTGCTGGTGGAATCACGGTAGTTAGAGATGCAGCAGACCAGCGTCTTGCCGCACACCCAAGCCTACTAATTGTACTTACCATTTGTTTACTGTTGCCTTTTCTTTTGCAGGCTGCTATACCACACTTTGCTTCGCTCGTCGCAGTGTATCCCCCCCTAAGACTTCACCAGCACACGAATTACCCGAACTCCTTGGCTTTTACACCTAGTTGTCAGTGCATCTCGGCACTTGCTAATGCAGCTTTTGTGTAATTAGGTCGTTCTTACTTTCTTGGATTGCCCCTCAAAATCAGAGAAATAAGTCCCAAAATGGTGTACAGCGGTGACCCTTGCAGTGGAACCGCGACCAAACACACTGCACTGCGCCCCTCAAGTCTTGCTACCCTCCCTAAACATATTTTTATGGTATACCGGTGAAATTTGGTTTTTTTGCCAGTCAGTCTGATTCGGGACTCATCTCAAGAGGTTTTGTGTGTTGTTAGTAGCTAGTTATATTAGGTGGGAAGTGACCTCCAGGAAGGCCTGGCAGGCCCCACAAGCGTCTCCTTTTCTCATCTGTATGCCGCCCTGAGACTTTGTTATTCCCTTTTTATACTTGATCAGATGAGCGCGGATGGTTCCACAGCATCGGGTGGGGCGGAACACTTCCTTGTCAACACCGCCAAGGCTGGAGGTGGAATCGCCAGCAACAGCAGTGCCACCTGCAGCTGCAGCCACACCTCCAGCAGCATCAGAAATGACAAAGAGCCTCCGTCCCTCTCTGATTTATTGTCTCGCAGAGACTTCGCCGCTGCAGCCTCTCTCGTGCAACTTACCAGGTCCAGCAGGACCCCCAAATCCGCCTTGCCGAAGACCGATCTGTGGGTGGCTTATTGCTTCTACCATTCAAGGGCATATGAGCAAGCCTTGCTACTATACGAGACACTCTCAAAGATATCAGTTCGAGATATCCAATATAGTGACAGGATCTCATGGGAGTCTATCAAAGCGGGGAGAGAACCCCGAGCTGAGGCGAAACCAGAAACACACAGCGCCCTCAATGAAACTACTTCAATAGGACATAATAGTCCCGATGATATTGCTGCAGCTGAGGCAACTCTGAGCGAAATGACAGAGGAGGAGATAGAGGGGCTGCCGCTACTGATAGCAGCGTGTCACTTCCGGTTAAGGCAACCAGAAAAGGGACTCGTTGAAATTAAACGAGCCCCGCCATCACCAAAGCAGCGCCGGTTGCTCCTTCTTTTACGTATGCAACAGCAGCAGCATCAACAGCAGAAAACCCAGCAACGGCATGGGGGGGAAGCGTGGTTTGCCATTGACAAAGAGATTGAAGCTCTAGAGGGTGGTAGCACCGAAGATATACTGTGTGCTGCCGCTGCACATTTCTTTCGTTGCCGATTTGAAAAGGCAGTAAAACTATATGAGGATTTGTTATCTGTACACCCCGAGGCCTTCGCATTCAAGGTATACGAGGCAATTTGCTGCTACAAGATGGGTGAAATAGACAAGGCCCAATCCCTGGCCGAGGTACGCACCAGAAGAGTTTTGTCTCTAGAGACGGAGCAAAAGGCAAAATGAGAGTCAGAAAGAACGCAAGGGCAGAATAAATAGATTTATAGAGAAGCTACAACATACAGTTTTTCTGACCTGTGACAGCGTTCCCTCGTCAGGCTTGCCAGCCCGTTTCGCCACCCGATTTCTTTCTCTCGCAAACAAACGAGTCGCTGTTCAAAGAAGTGTAGACGCCTTTCAGACCTTCATGATGTTTCGTATTGAGGGTTCTTTTGGTTTGGCAGACAGATTGGCCCCGACTAGGGAAAAGTCTCTAGAAGACCCCCTAAGCCATCTTGAAAGAACCCTCACCAAACCAAAACACACAAGTGTGTGTGGTATGTGGATGATGTTGTGTGTAGGATTACTTGTCTGTACACCCGCTTTCCCTTGTAGCCTCAAATGTGCTTTTCTGTTGTCTCATGGAAAGGGGAGACAAACAAGCAGCTCACGCGCTGCTGCAGGAACTTGGCAAGCAGACAGGGACACCTATCGAAGACCTGCAGACTGCCTATGACCCTCTGAGGCTCAACGTGTGTCTCTTTACACAAGAAGAAGCTAACTCTATCCCAATGGAACTCCTTTCGCTTGTGGATAGTATCCCAGAGGTCCGTTCGTCTCTAACTACTTTCCTTGTCGTTGTACAGCGTTTTCTACCTGGGGAGCGGAGACACGCACTCCGTGGGAGTGCGTGTCTCCGCTTCCCCTCCATTACAAGTGTCTCGTTTACTATGACCATGAGACACGCTTTTTACTATTTCTCGCACACCTGTCTGTTTGTGGTACATGGGATTGCAGGCTCGTTATAACCTTGCCGTTAACTATCTCAGGCAAAACAGACCCGAGCGAGCTCTGGCACTGTTGCAGGAAGTCTCTCTAAATATCAGCGCGTCAGTCAGCTTCAGCGCTAGTCAATTTGTGGGGTCGTAGCTCTTTGGGTGTTCAGTCTGCGTAATAAGCCCAATGGTTAGGCCGCACTGGCTAGGGAAGCCCCAAGGCCCTTCTCTCGCTGTTTTTGTGGTGTGGGTTGATCTCGGGTCTCATAAAGTGAGTGCCAGTGCAGAGCCAAAGCGGTGAAGGCAGCTGCATTGCTCCAACTAGGGCAGCAGCAAATGAAGAGATGTCTCTTGGAGGAGGCTGAGAGTCTCTTTTTAGAAGTTGCAGAGGAAGCTCCACAGACGCGCCAAGGCTCTGCTTCAAGTAGGAGCATCCGCTGCGTCATTTGCCGTCGTCAAGCTACAGACTGGCAGACACAGGGCAATCCTGATGCACGCAAGCATTTGCTCACTGCACACTCAGCAGACAAGGGAGCTCGAATGAGTGAAGAACATAGTTAGAGTGCTCTGTGTGCCAGGATTGGAGAGCCTAATGCTTGCGCACTACCTAAAGAACGACCTTGAGAAGGCGTGGGGATACGGCGAACAGCTCAAGAGCATTGACAACCATCAGCCTGCTGTCTGGTGGTCCCTTATGAGCATTGCGGTGTCGCTGGGTCGCGAAGAAGAGGCCCTCGACTGCCTGCTGCACATCGAAGATGAAAGGTCAAATTGACACTTTGTATGCTCGTGCAGAGTTCAGCTTTATGAATTCAGCTCCATGAGTTTAAAATTTCAACGCCAAGGTTTGGGCTTTTCACGTAACGCATAGAGGCACGCCACAGCGAGTGGTAGATTCAAAGACAGACACATAGAAGACTTTGCAGGAAATTGTGCTGAACGATACAGGCGGCAGTCACACCCTTGTGTGTCTGCCTATTGCTTCAGCTACTGGCAAGATGAGCTTTACCAGCAGTGGTTTGTGCGCCTCCACATTAAGGCGGGACTACACAGAGAAGCCTTCCGTCTCTGCCTCCAGCAGCAAGGCAACCCTGGCTTCCCTAAGCTGATGCTTCAGTGCGCTGTAGACTGCCATGTCATGCAACACTACCGTAGCGCACTTGAGGTGAGGCCCAGATAGCTGCTTTCACTCCTGCAGGCCATTGGTCTTAGACTGGTGCATCTGGAAGGTACAGGTTAGCGTAATTATGAGAGCAGGTCGTTGGCCTGGAGGTGACTGCAGATTGTAGACAGCCGAGTCGGTACGGAAATAGAAATGAGGAAGAGCGGAAAATGTGTTCGGGTCGGTGGTGTTGACAGGCGTTCTCCATCGTTTTGCAGTTGGAACCGACAGAGAACAGCGAAAAGGGTTTTCGTGCTGCTGCTTCTGGGCTTGTGCTTCATATTGCATGCGGCAAGGAAAACGGGGATACACTGCCTTGGCTGTTACAGCTACTGAGGAGCGTAGGTGATCCCCAACTGGATGAGGTCCGAGCCGCAGCAGAGCACCTCATGTTGCACTTTGCAGAACAGAAGCAGCAGAAAATACATGCAGAAACGGAGGGGGATTGAAGGTGGGCGGCTTCCTCTGTTCCCTATATAGTGCCCTGCCCTAGGCTGTCCAACGACAGTGGTTTCGTGGCTTCTGTCTGGTGTTCAACATTAAACCCATAATGCGATGCTATTGAACCCCATCTTGGATTAAAACGCAGATGCGGTGTGGTCGGCAGCTGTCTACAAACCAGTTTGACTTTGGGATTCCCTCAACACAGTTCGTTGTAGGTCCGGCCATCTGGCTTCTCTGCACTTCAAACGCTTCCCCTCCGTTATACTATCTGGATAGCGTGAGTGACAGACAGAAAAAACACATAATGCTTTATCCTCATATCGGGTCTCTCCCGCCTCAGCAGTCTCGCTTCATACCCAGAGGGATGCTGCGACGGCTGAAATGCCACTAACATGCTGGTGTTACGGGGCCTGTATATTGCATTTAAAAACGAAAAAAGTACAATTACCTATTTTCGTAATTATTTGGGCTAACAACACTACGGAAGATGAAGTATAATTGAGACAAGTCGCAACCCTCTGTCGCCGCGTAGGACACAGTAGAAAACCCAGGAAACTTTCTTTAACGCGAGCGCAAACGCCTTCACCTTGACCATATAAAGTTGAATATGATCATATACGCTCGAATATCGAGTGCTTTGAAAACAAAATAAGTAAGTGCAGAGGACAGCAAATGAAGAATATGTGACTCCTAGAGCACCGTAGCTCAGTGGGAGAGTGGGGGGCTCATAACCCCCAGGTCCATGGATCGAAACCATGCGGTGCTACTTCTGTCAACAGAGGTTTTTTGGCTGTTTATTTTATTATATGGTGGCCCGAATTATGATGCTTCGTGTCCTACTTTTGAAACACAAATCCCATAAAGTCTGCCCAAAACAGAAACTATCTTGTTCTTTGCAACTTCTGTGTAGTGGTAAGCCGCCGAGTTAGTCAGCGGCAACCATTGACGATTTGTGTGCCCTAGAGCATCGATTTACCGTGCATGTACATTGCAGCTTACTATGGCCGTTCCCTCCAACATCACCTTCTCCCGTTCTCTATAGGCCCACTAGTGGTGGTAGTACTTCACACTTGCAAAGACTGTGACCCTTTGCTTAGTGCCAACCCCAAAGCCACTCCTAGCCCCAGCAAAGCAGCTTTGTTTTGTCGGGGGAACCCACTCGAGCGAATTGAAGACTCCTCCTAAACCATGGACCTGCATGTGTAAGCGACAACGAGCCACAGTTCAGCTCCTGTTTCGGTTGGAACAGCTAGTGAAAGTGTCTCCTTAGGGTCCACGCTGATAAATCAGCTGCACGGAGAGAACCCACCGTCACAGAAGTGTACGTACATCACATCCCAGCGCAAGCTGGGTGAAGTGGGCGATGCTTGGCGTAGCAATCGCTTTCTGTTCGCTTTGCTAACATCGCTTCATTTCGCTAAAAAGAAGCATCCTAATTAAGATCGTTTCAAGAGCCAAAACATCGACTACAGAAGGAGACAAGTCCCTACCTATACTGAAAAGATTATGTCTCTCCAACGTTCTCGTACGAGGCGAAGCCAGAATTGCAATGCCTGCCTGTACGTGATACCGTATTGCTGTGTTGTCGCTGTTACTGTCATCAGTGCAGCTTTGGTGGCCTCCCTACAGGCCTTTGCTGCCACGGCAAAACTCATGCTGCTCTCAAACTTGTTGGTTGCGGGCTTACTTAGCCACCTCGCTAGGTAACTGGCTAGGCATACCAGCCCTTGCAACTACTGCAGAGTGGCCCCTCTATCAATAAGGGGTCCCCCAGGAAGACCCCGTCGAACTCTTGAGAAGATCCCTGCTGGAGGGATCCGTAGACCCCTGGGGATCCTTTGTCCCCTAAGAAGCCGCGGAGCCACATGGCCCCTGCAAGACGCTCCTCGATTCACAGACCCCACTAGCGTGTGAGCTCCAATGCGTCCCCATGTTGGCTGGACCCTTGAGGCGATCCGCTTGTTGATGGTTGCCATTCGGTGTCCCCTAAAGGAATCCCCCCGGCAGACTCCCAAGCCGGCGGCAGCGAGTGTCGGCTTTCTATGGGTCATCAAACCATCCCTGGGGGCCCCCCGGCTATTTTTAATTGTGACTTCCTGCCAGGGGCTCCCCATACCGTTTGCAGTTTTGCCTTCGCATGCTGCTTGCATACGCCCCCCCCTCATGGGAATAGCAGGTACCTGGCAATTTCTGGTGGGCCCTAGAGAGCCTTCATGCACTACGTAGGCAACAGATGGCTCTCCACTAGCAGTACCCAAAGAGGCAGACAATGAGGGGGCAGAGCTGTTGCTGCTGCTGATGGTATCGCCTCCTGCTCTGGTATAGCTGTTGTTGCCATCGTTGCTGGAGATGCTGCCGCTTGTGTAGGCCTCCTGAGAAGCTTGAGAACTTGAGGTCCCTCCGGTAGGCCACTGCCAGTCACATAGCGGAGTCTGCTGTTGTTGTTGCTGCTGCTGTTGCTGCTGTTCCTCCAACTGGACAGGTCCCCCAGTGGCACCTGTGAGCGGCGCCAAGTTCAATTCTTGCCCGAGGACAAGGTGTGTATCTTGCATGAGCATGTGCTGCTGCTGCTCTTGCTGTGCTGGCAGTACCTTGTCTCCAATGCCATGGCCCAGCGGGTGCCCAGAAGCCGCAAGCCTGAGGGCCACTGCCTTCTGAAGGGCCCCCTCAAACCCCCACGTCCTGACAGCATATGCTTTTACACAGGCGTCCGCCTCGCCATAGCGGCAGCACCAAAAGGCTTCTTGTGGGCCTCTTACGAACAGCTGGACCTTCTCAACCCGCTGCTGCAGCAGCAAATCGTATCCACAAATGGCAGAGCCTCCAGGGCCACCATAAAAACGCCTCCCCACATAGCGATGCTCATACGGAAAAGGCGAAGCTACAGCCCTCAGATCCTGCAGCGGCAACAGCAGTAGATACACAGCAGCAACAAAAGAAACTAATAAACACACCGACACCGAGCTTTCCAATATTCACCCCAACGCCAAATGCTGCAGAAATCTATGTAGTACCACTTCCAGCAGCAGCAGAATAAGCAACCGCATAAGCAGCAACACTAAAAGCCGAAAGAGCTAACGTTGTCTGGCTGAGCATTCCACACGACTCCACCGGATGCGGAGGCTGCATCGGCCCTTTCCAGCTTAGCAGTGTCAGCATCCTCTGTTGTTGCTGCTCCCGTTGCCGTTGCTGCTGCGGACTCAGTCGCAGTTTCCGCTGTGTCTGTGACGAAGAGGGACCCCCAAGGGGCCGTAAAGCCAAGCTGGGGGCCCTCGACTTCCTTTCTCTTAGCGACACCCCCGCACTCGGCTGCTGCTGCAACGCAGCAGCACAGATGGAACAACAGCAGCACAAGGAGAAGCTGCAGTGAAGGCAACAATGTTGTTGCAGCAACAAGCGCAGAAGCAGCAGCAGCTGCAGCGAAGGCAGAAGCAGGTGAATGATCGTACCTGTTAGCTGTTCTTTTATATCGTCAGTCACTTCATTCGAAAGGAGACAGCTGGTGGTCTCCAACATCAAATTAATGTCTTCGCTGAATACCCGCAAAAGGGCCTCTTGCTGCTGCAGTAAACTATCTGTCGCCTCTTGAAGTTGTAGCAGCCTTTGCTCTTCACAGTCACACTCCTCCAGCACCTGGGAAACGGTCCCCCACTCAAGGCTCCACCTGTCAACGTTGCCGCTGCTGCTGTCGTTGTTGTTGCTGCTGCTACTGCTGCTACTATTGCTGTTCCTGCTAGTTTTGCTCTCTGCTGTCAAGTCTCGACAAACTGCAGACAGCCGCTGCGATATTTCTTTTCCTACCTGCTGCACTGCAGCACGGGACAAGAGAGCCCCCTTGCTGCTCCTTCGCGCTGCCGTGAGGCCGTCAACAAAGGCGCTAATCCGAGCAGCCACTGCTTCTGAAGCCTGCTGTTGCTGCTTATGCTTCTGCTGATGCTGCTCGTGCTCCTCCTGCTGTTCCGACTGCTGCTGCGTTTGCTGCTGGTGCTCACACTGCTGTTCTTGGACCGTACCGCCCCCTGTGGAGCTGTCAGGGGCCCTCGTTCCGGCCTCCTGCGTGACTCCTGGAGGATTCGATGCAGCAGCTGCTGCTGCAGCTTGGCGGCAGAGGTGCAGAGCAACATGAAGAAGCTGCGCTGCCTGTTCGTTGCTGCGAACTGCTGCTTGTATACTCTTGATACGACCCGCTGCTGCTGCTGCTCTTAGCTTCAAAAAACGCCAGTGACGCACTGCTGCTGCAGCTCCTTCCTCTCCCGATATCCCTTCTGTTGCTTTTGCTACTTTTGCTGCACTTGCTGCTGCTGTTGCTGCTGATCCATCACCTTCGTCTCCTACTTCTACTGCAGTGCTCGCATCAAAGACTGTCGGTCCAGTGTCAGTGCAACGCTCACTGTTAGAGCCAGTTTCGTCAGTTGTTGTTGTTGGTGCTGTTGCTGCTCCTTTTGCTGTGGTTGTTGCTGCTATTGTTTCTGTCTGATCGTCAGGGAGGGCGCAGGTACCAACACGCCCTCCTGCCAAGCCAGCGGGCTCGCGGCGATCCTCTTCCTTGACAGGGTATCCCACACACTGCGCACCTGTTGCTCCTGCTGCTGCCGTTGCCGTTGCCCTTGCCCTTTCAGGTTTCGGCTTCGCCTCTGCAGCAGGCACCTTGTGCTCCAGCAGCCCTTTCGCTGCAGTATGGTCCGCTTCTGTGTCACTGGCGCTCGCGTTGGTGCTGCTGGCGCTGCATCTCTTGACCATACTGCTAGTCATCTCTGAGTAATTGTTGCTGCTGCAGTTACTACTGCCTTCGCAGCATTTGTTGCTGACTTTGGTGTCGCTCCAGCACAACCTTGATGGCAAGGAGGAAGCCCTCGGTGTCCGCAGCACAGGCCTCCAAGCCATGAGGGTTGCTGCTGATGCTGTCTCTCCTTTCAAGATGTCTGCCAGAGAAAGAATACCAATGCCATTATGGCCGATAGCAGCTGAAAATGTAGGGGCCCCCTGTGGGCCTGCGGGTCCCTCTTGCGCTGCAACGCAATGAGCACCCTTCACTGGGAGCAGCAGCTCCTCACCACTACACCCCTTTTGCTCCAGTTGTTGCTCCTGCTGTCCCTGCTGCTGCTGCTGCCCCACATCGTCTTCCTGCTGCTGCTGTTGCCCCACATCGTCTTCCTGCTGCTGCAGGTGCTGCAGGATGCGGAACCATCCGCTGCCCAATAGGCCCCACGGAAGCGACGAAGGGAACACGTCTCCCCGCTTCCGTGTTGTTGCTCCTACAACAGCTGTTCGATTTGCTGCTTCTGCTGCTATACCCGAGTCCCCCTGGAATTCTGCTGATGCTGCTGCTGCTGCTGCTGCTGCCCCATCTACGGCGGCTGTGTCCATGCCGAAGGCGGCCCCGCGCGCTCCAAGGCCACCGCAAAGCAGCAAGAAATCCGAGATGCGGGCTCTCTGGAGATGCATGCGGTATTTCCTCCTTTTACACCTGCTGCAGCAGTTGTTGCAATCCCATCCCAGCTCTCCTGTTGAGCTGCAGCAGCAGCACCAGGAAGCACCTGCTGCTGCGCACATATGCGAGGGGTCTGTACCAGCGGGAAAATCCACTGCAGGCAGCAGTGGCGGCTGTCGCTGAGATACGCCTCCCCCGTCTAAGCACACAATGTCGGGGGCCTCCTCGTCCATGTGGCCACCACTCGGCTGGGAAAGCAAACCAATGAAAGCCGAGGAGAGCTGCTGTTGCTGTTGCTTCTGTTGCTGCTGCTCTAACCGCAGCAACTGCTGCTCCCTCTGCTGCTGTTTCCTGCTGTTTTGCACACCGCGCACTCCAGACACTTTCCGCCTGCGGGCCCCCTGCTGGCGTGTGCTGGGAGCAGCCGCTGAAGGTCCTCCATAAGCGTCGGGTGGGCCCACATGGAAAGGGGGACCTTGCACGAGGAGTTGCTGGGATAGCGGCAGCAGCGCCCCTTCACCGGCACCCTCAAAGGAATGTCCCCAAATGCTACTGGTAGCTGCCGTAGTAGCAGGGGTCCCTCCATACTGAGCCGAGCCCGAAGACGCCGCGACAGGAACCACCGATGCACCTGCTGTTGCTGCCGCTGCCTCGTTTGCATGCTGACCTGGCTGCTGGCCGTGCTGCTGCTGCAGCGTATGCGGCGGCATACCCGTGGAGGTCCCCGTTGAAGGTTCGGAGCCAAGGGCTCTTGCCTCGCTGCTAAATGCGAGTGATGGGTGCAGGCCCCATTCTTCGTGGGGCCCCTGGGACCCCTGGGCCTCAGGTAGGCACTGGTGGAACCCCCCTAGCAGCACGTCAGGGTCGTAGTCCCACACCCCAGTAGAAGGGACATAAAGAGCCGACCCCTTGGCAACCCATGGGTGGGTCTTGAGGGCCCTCAGCAACTCGCGCCACCCCGGAGCAGCAGGCTTAGGATCATCAGTTTCCTGGGGGTCCCAGGGGCCCCCCTCAGTTAGAGAAGTCCGCCCACCAGTCTCCCCGTCTGCAGGTAATGCCCATGAACGGGAATCCGAGGCTCGGTCCCTCTCGCCTCCAACTTGCGCTGGGGCATCAGCAGTCAGAGGCAGGACGCTGAGGTCTTCAATTGCTGCAGAAGCAGCAGCAGTTTCTGCTGCTGCTGCAGGTGAAGGTCGCCCTTCTCCAGCAACAACAGCAGGTGTAGTTGTTGTTGTACTCCCCGCATCAACCCCAGAAGGTGGAGGAGGAGGAGCAACAGCAGCAGCTGCTGCTGCACGAGCCAGAGCTAGAATGCCCTGATGCCACGTGCGTACCTCATGGTCGCTCGCGGGGGAACCTGTGAGGTGTACATACACCAGAAACATCTCTGCCAATGCCAGGGCAACGTCATTGGAGTGTCTTCGCAGGCTAAAGCTCTTCATTCTTTTCTTCCCCCCAACCAGATAGCGAGCCCGCCATTCCCCCTTTACTGGATGATGGTAGCACTGGCGCGCTATGGCTTCAGGGGGGCCCCCTCGGCAGTGGGCCCCCCCTGAAGGAGGGCCTCTCGCAGCAGATAAGGAGCCAAAGGCTGAGCGGCAGCTCCGCCGCTGCGAAGCCTTGCGGGGACCCGCGACAGTGGGGGCCCTCAAGGGCAGCAAACTACTGCATCCAATGATACTTCCCTCCTGCTGCGTCGCATCTCCGTCCACGCCGTCGGCCTTCTTAGCAGCAGAAGCAGAACAAAACACGGAGGGGGGGGGGCCGCAGGCAACACCACCTGAGGGGGC